AGAGACGGGGTTACACCGTGTTGACCAGGATGGTCTCGATCTCTTGACCTCGTGATCCACCCGCCTCGGCCTCCCAAAGTGCTGGGATTACAGGCGTGAGCCACCGCGCCCGGCCTCCAACTCTGAATTTTCTAATTTGAAACATAAAAAAAACAAAGTACAGGCTTGAAAACATGGATTTCAGTTCTACTTTCTTAATTCACTGTATAATCTTCAATCCTTCAACAAACATGACAGCAAGATATGACTCCAGTAGCCCCAAAACACATTCCCCTGCACACTTCCCAGGAACTTTATACCATTAACAAATGTAGGAACAAGGAGAGAAGGTTACCACAGAGAGGGGAAAACCTCTGCTCTATTAGAATATCATTGTCATTTGTTTTTTAATATACAAAGATTAAGTATGATAAGAAGGGAAGGTGTAAAATAAAATACATACGGTTGAGGCCAATGTCATGATATGTTAGTATAACTGGTCTGTTTCCTTTGGGTAAGCCTCTTATAGTGACGTGGACCACACCATGAGTTGTTTCTATGTCATGTTCCTGTAACAAGAGAATAAAAGATCTCAGAAAAGGCAGAATGAACTTCCCAGGTTGTAAGTTTCACAATACCTGCTTTACCACCATTTCCCACTAGCTTGGGTAGGACACATTTATAAACTACATGTGGCTGGGCACGGTGGCCCACACCTGTAATCCCAGCACTTTGGGAGGCCGAGGGGGGCGAATCACTTGAGGTCAGGACTTGGAGATCAGCCTGGCCAAAATGGTGAAACCTTGTCTTTATTAAAAATACAAAACCAGCCAGGCGTGGTGGCACATGTACATAATCCCAGCTACTCCAGGGGCTGAGGCTGGAGAATCACTTGAACCCAGGAGGCAGTGGTTTCAGTGAGCCAAGATCGTACTACTGCACTCCAGCCCAGTGACAGAGCGAGACTTCATCTCAAAAAATAAAAATAAAATAAAATAAATGAATACCAGAGAGATGCTATAGCATACATAATAGTCCTACTTTCCAATTCTTCCAGAAAAATAAATAAATAGGGAGCAAAACACACCTTGTTATCTCCAAAGCTCACTTATGAGCCCAGGGATCTGTTGAGAATACATTCACAATTGGCTATGGAAAAGAAATCAGCAAATTGGGTAAGGAGCCGCGTAGGACTTGAGGGGAAAAAAGAAAATGGACGATATAAAGAAGTTGCTGGGTAAAAATTCAGAAGCTTCAGAGCTTCTGAACACATGTTCAGCTAATTTATAATTAATTTCAGTAGATAATTTCACTAGATACCTATGGGTATATCTGCCTAGGATCTCTTCTTTCCTGGGAGCTGCCCTTCTGCAACATCCACACGTTACAGGGGTGGGTCTTGGCTTCCATGTTTGTAGAACATAATCTTATGGCCACAGCTTAATGGAGTCAGGGAGGCATCTGGCCCACGGTGGGACGGCATCTTTCCCTAGGTATTTGTAATTGGAACTAAGAGATTCCAACTTCAGCTTAGTTCTTCTCTTGAAAAGAGGAAATCAACTTGGGAGCTTTTAGTAGGCATTTCCACTACTCTTAATTTCTAGCTGTGTGTGCCTGTAAGTTCTGAGACATCCCTGGATTGTCTCTGGTTTAAGCTATATTGGGTGATTTTGTACCCTATACTTCTAAAAGATCTTAACCAAGCCAGTGAGTTAAGGATGTAGCCAGAGCAAAGCTCAGGAACTGAATAAAGCCGACAAAGGATGTACCGAGCTGCTGAGAGTAAATGCCACACTAAGAGTGGTTGGGTGGAAAAAAAAGGGACTGCAGAAAAGTTAACTGAGATTTATTCTAGTTGTACTCAAGTTTTATATTTCTCAAAAATAAAAAAACTACTACACCTAGCCTACTGAATTTCTGCTGATGAAGCTGCCTATTATCTATCTCAGAAAGTCTTATATTAGGTAAGACAAGAATAACTGTCAATGAGAATCCCAAAAACGGCAAAGGGCTTTCAGTTTAATTTCTTATCTAATAATGAACTTCATCAGAGCTTTGTTATCTTCTCTGATATGGGCCACAGAGCAACGACTTGGACTAATTGGACATCAGGAGATCTCAAATTACAGGCCCTAGGCTGGAGCTGATAGCCATTCCTATCAAATCAATCCAGGTGTGACTCACTATTTCTGTTATTCTCTATTACTACTACCTCCTAGTCAAGTCTATTCAAAGCCTTGAAAAATGAACAAAAGAAATGTAGACTATAATCAGGTACCATGAACTGGCTATGAAATAAAGTATAGGCCAGGTGCTGTGGCTCATACCTGTAATCCCAGCACTTTGGGAGGCCGAGGTGGGCAGATCACTTAAGGCAAGTACTTCAAGACTACCCTGGCCAACGTGGTGAAACCCTGTCTCTACAAAAATTAGCCAGGCATGATGGTGGGTGCCTGTAATCCCAGCTACTCAGGAGGTTGAGGCAGAAGAATCACTTGAACCCGGAAGGTGGAGGCTGCAATGAGCTGAGATAGTACCACTGCTCTAGCCTGGGCGACAGAGCGAGACTCCATCTCAAAAAAAAAAAAAAAAAGAAAGAAAGAAAGCATAAGGTTTGGATAGGAGGAAGATAAATTACTTTCTATTTCTGTATTTCTCTTACAACAACGTTAGACTTACTAAATGACCCACTTCCCGACCTTGGTTCATTCATTAAATATCTATTGAATGCCACTCCATACCAGATGTAGAGCTGGGAATAAGACAGTAAACCTGAGTGGACGCGGGGTCGCGCGCGCGCGCGGAACGGGCAGAAGGAAGTGCACCACTCCTAAGCGTGCGCCCCGTGGGGCCGGCCTTAACTCGCAGCTCGCACCGCCCACGGCCGGGGCCAGGCGCCTGCTCTTCCTTCGCTTGCTGTGTGAGCTGAGCCGGTGTATGCGTGGCAATAACATGTCAGCCCAGCTGCCTGCCGTCGTCCCCGCCACCCGAAAGGCTACCGCCGCAGTGATTTTCCTTCATGGATTGGGAGATACTGGGCACGGATCGGCAGAAGACTTTGCAGGTATCAGAAGTTCACATACCAAATGTATCTGCCCGCATGCGCCTGTTATGCCTGTTACATTAAATATGAACATGGCTATGCCTTCAGGGTTTGATATTATTGGGCTTTCACCAGATTCACAGGAGGATGAACCTGGGATTAAACAGGTTGCAGAAAACATAAACTTTGATTGATCAAGAAGTGAAGAATGGCATTCCTTCAAAGAGAATTATTTTGCAAGGATTTTCTCAGGGAGGAGCTTTATCTTTATATACTGCCCTTGCCATGCAGCAGAAACTGGCGGGTGTCACTGCACTCAGTTGTTGGCTTCCACTTCGGGCATCATTTCCACAGGGGCCTATCAGTGGCACCAATAGAGATATTTCTATTCTTCAGTGCCACGGAGATTGTGACCCTTTAGTTCCCCTGATGTTTGGTTCTCTTACGGTTGAAAAACTAAAAACATTGGTGAATCCAGCCAATGTGACCTTTAAAACCTATGAAGGTATGATGCACAGTTCGTGTCAACAGGAAATGATGGATGTCAAGCAATTCATTGATAAAGTCCTACCTCCAACTGATTGACGTCACTAAGAGGCCTTGTGTAGTATTCCAGCATCATTGTAGCAGAGAATAAACCTTTTCCCATGCCCAGTCTTCAAATTTCTAATGTTTGCAGTGTTAAAATGTTTTGCGAATACACTCTAGTGACAAAGATCAAATAATGTCTTCTCATGAGAAATTTAGGATCTTTTAAGTTTCTATACATGTATTCTTATAAGAAGATTCAGGATATACCATTTAAAAATAGATGAAGCAGGTAGCTTCTTTTTTCTCAAATGTAAGTCAGCAAAATAATATAGTACTGCCACCAGAATTTTTATTACATCATTTGAAAATTAGCAGTATGCCTAACGAAAATCTGTTCAGGTATAAAGAGCAGTTAAGATATAAACAATTATGCATGCTGTGACTTAGTCTATGGATTTATTCCAAAACTGCTTAGTCACCATGCAGTAACTGTATTTTATATATGTATTCACATATACATAATGATTGTAATACATAATAAGAATGAGGTGGTATTATATTATTCCTAATAACAGAGATAATGCTGTTCGTTGTCAAGAGACAGTAAATTGTTCTCTTCAATAAATGGCCCTTTTATTTTTGGGGAAAAAAAAAAACAACAGTAAACCTGAGAAATGTGATCCCAGCCTTCACAGAGATTATGTTCTAGATAGGGAGGCAGACAATAAACACACAAACAAACCCACCCATAATAATAGCTTGTGATAGGTGCTATAAAAGAAACAAACAGGGTGCTATGATAGGAAAGTAGGAAGACATTACCTTCACTAAACAGACAGGAAAGTGAAAATTAAATTCAATCAAATACGACTTCATACATACCAGAATGGCAACAACTTGAAGTCAGATAATGCCAAGTGGTATCCAGGATGCGGAGAAATAAGTAAGAACCAACATATACTGTTCTTTTTGTTTTGTTTTGTTTTTGAGACGGAGTCTTACTCTGTCGCCCACCTAGGCTGGGATGCAGTGGCGTGATCTCGGCTTAATGCAACCTCCACCTACTGGGTTCAAGCAATTCTCCTGCCTCAGTCTCTTAAGTAGCAGGGACTACAGGCATGTGCCACCAGGTCTCACTAATTTTTGTATTTTTAGTAAAGATGGGGTTTCACCATGTTGTCCAGGCTGGTCTCAAACTCCTGATCTCAAGTGATCTACCTGCCTCGGCCTCCCAAAGTGCTGGGATTACAGGCATGAGCCACCGTGCCCATGAAGAATCAACATATACTGTTGGTAAGGCATGTAAACTGGAACAACTACGGGGAGAATAATTTGGTAATTTCTAGTAAAAGTAAGAGGTACCTACCCTACCGCAATTTTACATATAATCTAAGGCTGGGTCATTAGATTTCTGATGCTAGCCATATGTACTTATAAGTTCTGAGACATCCCTGGATTGCCTCTGGTTTAAGCTACTAGGTGGGTTTCTACCCTATACCCCTAAAGGATCTTAACCTAGTCAATGGTGATGGCTCACACCAGTAATCCCAGCACTTTGAGATGCTAAGGTGAGAGAATCGCTTGAGCCAAGAGTTCAAGACCAGCCCTGGCAACATAGTGAGACCTCATATCTACAAAAACATAAAAATATTAGCCAGGTGTGGTAGCACATGCCTGTAATCCCAACTACTCAGGAGGATGAGGCAGGAGAAAGGCTAGAGTCCAGAGGTCAAGGCTGCAGTGAACTATGATCACAATACTCCACTCCAGCCTAAGTGACAGAGCAAGACCCTGTCTCAAAAAAAAAAAAAAAAAAAAAAAAGATATAATCTAAATAAACTATCAAACATGGTCACACACATAAAAGGACATTTACAGAGATATATGGGTGACCCTCAAACAACACAATGGTTAGTGGTGCCAACCCATTGTGTAGTCAAAAATCTGCATATAATTTTTGACTCCCCCAAAACTTAACAACTAATAACCTAATAT